ACCGCTTGGGTGGTGAGTGTTGTGGGCCCAAGCTGCAGCTTGTAAGTTACAATAAAAAGACCCTCATGTGTTTTGCAAAAAAAAAAAAAAAAAAAAAGAACCAATATGCTCTTGGGAGTCAGAGGTAGGATTACAAGTTCAAGGACAGCCTGGCCTATAACAGCAAATTCCAAATTAGCTTTGACTACGTAATAAAATCTTGCCCTAAAAACCAAAAACCAGGATGCTAGCACACGGCACCGTAGAGCAGAATCAGAGAGAAGGGCAATTGCAGTACATTAATTAAAAGGTACTTTAAGAGAAGAAACCCAAGCCAGGCAGTTGGTGGCGCTCGCCTTTAATCCCAGAACTCATGGAGGCAGAGGCAGGGTGATCTCTGAGTTCCAGGACAGCCAGGACTACACACAGAGAAACCCTGTTTAGAAAAGCCCCAAAAAAAGAAAGGGAAAAAGAAAAAAGAAGAAGAAACTTAGCCACAGGACTGGGTTAACAGTGGCAGAGAACTTGTCCAGCATAGACAACTCCTAGAGTCTGTCCCCAGCTCAAAACAAACAAAAACCAAGGAAATGAAAGACTGGGTAGATGTGAAAAAACTGACATATCCGGCTGGAGAGATGGCTCAGCGGTTAAGAACATTAGCTGTTCTTCCAGAGGTCCAGAGTTCAATTCCCAGCAACCATCTATAGTGTGCTCTATATATATCTGGAGAGTGCTGGCATCTCTCCAGATAGAGCATTCATATGCATAAAATAATTAAGTAAATAAATCTTAAAGAAAAAAAAACCCGACATAGACAATGTCCAAAACCAAAACCAAACCAAACCAAAACAACAACAACAAAAAAAACAGGGAACATGGTCTCACAACTAAAATAGGTAAACTGACAACTTGATCCGATTTGATTCGTGTGCCTGGGCGCCCGTGTGTGTATGCAGACACCTGCAAAGCGAGCCGAGGTTGGCAGATCCCGGGAGGTGGAGTTAGGCGCAGCCGTGGGTCACGTGACGGGTGGCGGGACCTGAACTCCCGTCCTCCGGAAGAGCAGCGAGCCTTCTCAGCGGCTCAGCCCCCTCTGCCGGCCCTCAGCGTGGTTTTCCGCTGTGTGAACGTCCAGTGGATGTCCAGTGGTGTGGTGCGTGGGCTGGGGAGACGGCTGAGCAAGAAAGGGGCTTGCCGACGAGCGGGACAGCTGAGCCGGGTCCCCAGGACCCACGTGACGGAAGGAGGGACCCCTCCGGCCTGCACGTTCGCGCTGCGGACACCCGTGTGCGCGCCGGCGCACACAGATGCGCGGTAAAATACTTGCAAAGTTTATGTGATGGTTTTCTGTACTTTTTTTAGAATTTCATACCTGCGTCGAGTGCATTTTGATCAGTTCCACCCCCACCCCCGCTCCTCCAGCTCCTTCCTGGGTGCTGCCTGGGTGTGGGGCGGCCTGCCGGAGCCTCCCTGAGGGAAACTCCCTCCCTCTCCAGGAAGCCAGCAACGGTGATAGCGCCTCAGCAGCTCAGAGTGACCCCCCTCTCCCATTCATGCTGGAATTGCTTGATTTTCGTAGGCAGGCCCTTTCACTGAGCCTGGCTAGACTGGCTGGCCAGCCAGCGTGCCGCAGGAATCCCCCTGCCTCTGCATCCCAGCGCTGGATTACAGGGGGCCCTGTGACATCTTTTCCTCCTCTGAGACAGGGTTTCACTATGGAGTCCTGACTGGTTCGGCGGTTCTGTATGGAGCCCTCCTCACAGAGCTCGGCCTGCTGTGTCTCCTAAGCTCCTGGTGACTTGTGGAAGGTGGAGCTGAGCAGCCAAGCTGTCCCTCCTGCTTCTACCTCCCAAGGGCTAGGATTACAGCCAGTCCCAACAAGCTTGAGGATCCCTGGTTTCCTCCATGCCCTGCGAGCACTCCACCAAACTCCCATCTGCAGCTGCGACGGGGCCCGGAGGATGGCAATGGGCCCAAGTCAGAGGCGGTTCCCCACTGAGGCTCAGGAATCTTAGAGGGTAAGCGCCCCCTCTGACAGGACAGGCACTAGGTGGGGTATGGGAGTAGTTTGGTGGCTTGTCACGATCAGGATTTGTCAGCAGCTCAAGCCTGGTTGTGAGTGAACACGGAGGAGGTGGGGCTGGGAGGAGGGTAGCACCGGGAGCAGGTGTAGGTGAGTGGAGACTTGTAGGTGAAGCGAGCAGCAGGACTGTGGTGGCTCACGCCTTTAGTTCCGCTGCTTGGGAGGCAGAGGCAGGCGGATCTCTGTGAGTTCAAGACCCAGCTTGATCTACAAAGTGAATCCAAGACAGCAAGGCTACACAGAGGAACCCTGCCTCGACTCCCCTCGGGCGGGACACAGCTGGCGGAGGCGGCGCCCCAGGATGGAGGAACCAGTAATGGAGCAATTAAGGTAGAACGGTTTCCAGGTTGCTGGCCACTCCCCACCACAGACCCATCGCTCACTCAACTCCAGCCACACTAATCTTTGTTGGCATTGGCTCATCCCCACCTCAGGGCTTTGGCGCTTGCCGCCCGAATGCTTTTCTTGGAAACAGCTCCATGACCCTGCCCCTTAGGTGTCACCTCCTTGAGGACATCACTCTCCCTTTATCTTTCTTGATGTCTTGCCCACCAGAACGCAAGCCCTGAGAGCACAGAGTTGCCAGCCTGTGCTGTGTGTGGCGCCCACTAGCCGTGTGTCAGGACCGGGCTGGTTTGAACTGGCATTCACTTGATGCATGAAGTACATGGAAGATTTGTGTGAGGAGACAAAAAAAAAAGAACGGGGAATATCTCTGTCAGCCTTCCGAACACTGACGATGCGCTGACGTGGAAATATTTTGGATAGAGTGGGGTAAAGAAAAATAACGCCACGTCCATCAGTCTCGCCTGCTCCCTTTTGCTTTTTTAATGCCACGAAGGGAAAATTTGAAATCACACTGTAAACCGGACGTGGCTGGATATGGTGGGGCACACCTTTAATCCCAGCACTCAGGAGACAGAGACAGGTGGATCTCAGGGAATTTGAGGCCAGCCCGGTCTACAGAGTGGGTTTCTGAACAGCCAGGGCTATGCAGAGAGATGCTGTGTCAAAAGCCAAAACCAAACCAAACCAAAGAACGACAATGTGCCTCACGTGGGATTGTATCGAATGACGCTGACCTCGAACCAGTATTTGTTGAGTGACTGTCTTTGGAAGCCAGCTGGGCTTCCACATGTGTGCCTGTGTGGAGGGGTCCAGGCTGTCAGAGGGCCAGTAGTGTCCACTGGGAGCTCGGACATGAGCTTCTGCATAGTGACAGAGTGGGTCCAAAAACAGCTACTCTGTGCTGTACCCAGAAGATGACGCAGCCACGCAGAGGAATGGCTGAACAGGGGTGCCTGACTGCAGCTTGGGGCAGGGAAAGCCCTTCCTGGAGGCTCTTGTTTTCTCCAAGTGAGATCAAAACGCAAAGGCAGGCGGTGGCGGGAGGCAGGGCTTCAGAAGGTAAGACTGGACCATGTCCATCCGGCAGCATGTCTAAAACTGGCATCAGAAGTGGGTGCGGTGCCTGCTAGGGACAGAAACTTCAGCCTGGTTTGACAGATGGCAAGATGGGGGCGGAGGCCCAACCAAGGGAGCCCAGTGTGCAGGAGGCCTGTGGAAAGGGCTGGTTGTACCCCAAAGACAGGGAATCCCCCAAGGGCCAAATAAGGTTATGCAGAAAGCTGTCAGGAGGGGGATGAGAACATAAAGGACAGAGGGAAGGCTGGTATGGACAGTTTGGGCTGTGATGGCTAAGGGCAGAACCCGGGCAACAGATTTGACAGAGCCAGGGGTACTGGGGCAGGCAGCCCTGCTCGGTCAGGTTTTATCACTTGGTCTGGTGAGTGTATTCAGAGTGGCCACACAGGAAGGAGGCAGGTAAGATGACAGAAAAGGTGTGAAGTGGCCTTAGGACGGGCTCTTTGAAAGTCTGGGCTGGGAGAAGGGCTAGTTGCAAGGGAAGGAGGAGCCAGAAACAAAAGCTTCAAGGGCGGTTTTCCTTGAGGACGGAAAGGACTCGAGACCATATTTATAGACTACAGGAACAATGGCAGGCGGGACCAGAGAAGATGTAGACCAAAAAAGAGCAACACTGTTTTATCTTTCAGCTCCACTCCCAGTCTGCCTGGGGGGGGGGAGGGAGTGGCTACCCTGCCTGGCCACTGGGTGGGTGCAGAGCACCCAAGGTCTCACAGACCTACAGGAATGTGTGTGTGTAGGTGTGCATACACAGAGCTTATGCAGAATGCATGCAAACATGCATCCACACAACCCCCAAGAACATACATGTGCGTGTCTGTGCACACAGGCATGAGCCCAGGTCTATATACCTCCTGTCACTTGGGAGGCGTATGCCTGTAGGCATGCGTGGCGCCTCACGGTGTACGCGTGCAAACACACACACACACACACACACACACACACACACACACACACACGCAGCCCCCAGCGGTTGAACGCGCACGAGAGCAACCAACCTATCTCAGCGTCTCCTGGTGCGCTTGCGCCTGCGTGCAGAGAGCCCACCGAGGAGAGCTACCCTGCTCTGAAGCAGCAGGGGACCTGGGGAATGCTGCCACCACTGTTGAATCTGCTCCCCTCCACACCCTCCCCCTCCGTGCAACCATCAGGTCACCCATTGCCCTTGGCTCGTTTGCCTCCTGGGGCGTGTATGTGTGTGTGTGTGTGTGTGTGTGAGAGAGAGAGAGAGAGAGAGAGGGAGGGCTCCTGGCACCCTCGCTTTCCGCCGGGATCACAGCACGGAGGAGCCTGTCTACTTCAAAGTAGCTCCAGCACTAGGAAGTGCGAAGCCACCCCTACCCAAACCCCCGGCGGTCCCCTCTGCGTCTCTTCTGCCCGGGGGAGTCCCCTCTGCTCGTCTCCTGCTCAGGCCAGGGTCCTAAGCAGCCTTCCAGGAGCCACAACTCGCTTCTGCTTCCAAGGACACCTCCCCGCCCCCCCCCCCCCCCCCATCGTGCTGGAGCTTCGGCCACCGACCGCGCCGCTAGATGGTCAGGTCCTGGCGCACGGTGGCCAGCGACGCCTTGCTGTGGCCGCTGCCGCCCTCGGCCTCGCTGTCCCGGTGCGCGTAGGCTGGAGGTCCGAAGGGATCGGGGTCCCCGCGCTGCGAGGGCGGCAGGGAGGGCGGCGGCGGCGACGGCGGCGGGGACAGCCCCGCGCGCTGGCGACCCTTCCAGAGCAGGTGGCCCAGCTCGGCCACGCTGAGCAGCGCCGAGAGCAGCCCGACGGCGAAGTAGAAGACCACGAACACCGTCTTCTCGGTGGGCCGGCTCACGAAGCAGTCGACGGTGTGCGGGCAGGGCGGGCCGGCGCACGCGTAGTGCGGGGCCACGCGGAAGCCGTAGAGCCGAGCCTGGCCGCCCAGGAAGGCCAGCTCGGCGAGCAGGCGCAGAGCCACGCTCAGCAGGTAGCAGCGGCGCGCTCGGCGGGCGCGCAGGGCGCACGGGGGACAGGGGGCCTCGGGGCGGCCGCGCGCGCACGGGGTGGCCGGCGGCGCGCCGCCCGCCTCCTTGCTGGCCTGGTGCATGGAGTAGATGACGAACAGCACCGGCGGCGCCGACAGCAGCAGGATGTGGAAGAGCCAGAAGCGGTAGTGGGACACCGGGAAGGCGCGGTCGTAGCAGGTCTGGCGGCAGCCCGGCTGCAGCGTGTTGCACACGAACTCCTCCTGCTCGTCCTCGAACACGGCACCTCCCACCGTGGCCAGCACCAGGATGCGGAAGATCAGCATGACCACCAGCCAGAGGCGGCCCACGAGCGGCGACTGAAGCTGCACCGCGTCCAGCAGGGAGCCTAGGAACGCCCACTCCCCCATGATGCTGGGGTCAAGAAAGTGGGGGGTAGTCAGGCTGGGACGGACTGGACCCCCGCCCCTCCACGCCCTCCACGTTCTCTAATCTCGGAGGGCTCCAGGGGTTCAGAGATTTGGGGGGGGAGTCAATGAGTTAATTGTCTAGGTGTGAGGCTAGTAGGTGAGTCCCTTCTCGGCCATGGGGTCCCTTCATCCGGGCGTTGAGGGGTGCTGAGGAGGGATCCCCGCACCCCTGTCCCGGGTCCTGTTTGGTTAGACCCTATGGTCTCCCAGATCCTAGGCTCTCTCTCCCCGCTTGGCTTTTTGCGGCAGGATGGTTTCCAGGAGCAAGAGCGGCGCTGGAGTGGGGAGTTACACCTTCCGTTTGAGACCTCTGGGGACAAGGGGGAGGGCCAGGCCTGGTGAGCCCCCAGCACCTCCTTCCCCTCCCTCCTCACCGCAGTGAACGCCTTTCAGGGTGGGTTGGAGGCTGAGAAGGAAGCCTGTTTCCCTAACTTAGGGAATCTCCACCGGGCGCCCTTGACCCTCCCTTTCCAACCTCAGCCGGGCAGAGCGGGAACAGCCCCCTGGACTCCTGCCTGGCAGCCTCTCCTGGAAGCCTCGCGGAATCCACCTCGTCCCTGCAGACCCTTGGTGGCCTCTAGACACCCCCGGCCCCACTTACCCCGGGACCTGGGCCTTAGAGCTGAGCGTGGGACCTTGGGAGACAGCTGGGCCCTGTTCCTCGTGGTCCCTCTTTCATTTTCCTTTTTGGATTTGGCCGGGTTGGATGACAGGACAAGGATGGCTGAGAGGGGCTAGCTCTCCCCCTTCTCTTAAAGGGACAGGGTGACCCTGCTGTCAGGCTCCACCCTGGGAACAGACCCAGGGCCACACCCCTTGCTGGGTTCTTTCAGCCCTCCCTTTCCATCCTTCACCCCCAACCCATCCCATCGCCCGTGTCTCTGTCTGGTGATGGGCCGAGGTTAGCCAGAGCCAGGGGAGTCATGGGATCTGCCTCCTGACAGACTCCCCAAACTGAGGACTAAGTCCACCTACAACTGACTGACCCCTTTTTGAAGGTGGTCTTTGGGGCCAGGGGGAGATGTCTCCGTTTTTTAGGAGGTGACAAGCACCTGACAGCTTTGGGCTCTGCAATACCACCACTCCACCTTGGCTGGGCCATTTAGGTCATTTGGGCTAAGATCTCTTGTTCTGTCACCTGAGCCAGCTAAGCCCCGAGGAGCCTAATGCTTCAGAAGGTCAACAGCAGTCAGAAAAGCTTCCACCAAGGGTTTATTTATTTATTTATTTACCTTTATTTTATATGCATTGGTGTCTTGCCTGCATGTATGTCTGTGTGAGGGTGCCAGATCTTGGAGTTACAGACAGTTGTGAGCTGCCGTGTGGGTGCTGGGATTTGAACATGGATCCCTCTGGAATCACAGACAGTGCCCTTCACCGCCAAGCCATCTCTTCAGCCCCCAGTCCCAGTGGGGTGACTTCTAACAGTCTAGGTGCAGGGAGGTGCCAGGCGGTGATAGAAGATCCATGCCAGGAAGAGATGCCCCCAGTTGAGATGTTTTCTCTGCCCCCTTCCTTCGGTCTGGCACAGCCATTCTCGCATTCATTCGTCAGCAACCCTGGCAGGAGGGTGCCGCTTAAAGCCGGGGAAACTGAGTCCTGAGAGTCTCGGATGTGCAGAGAGTCAGTGGCAGATCCTGCTCTCACACCCTGGAGCTTGCGCTCATAGCGTGCCAGGGAAAACCGTCCCCCATCTCAGGTGGGCTGGACTCCCCCAGGGGCTTGTGGAGGGGGCACTGAGGAAGGCTAGCTGTGCTTATTTCTGTGAAAGGGGAAGGTGGTTTTAGTCCTGATGGGAGATTTTCTCTCCCGGTCAGTCACAACGACCTGCATGGGTTTCCATCGGTTAACAGAGGGTCCCTGATGGAAAATGTATTCTCTGCCCATTGGCCCAGTCAGGGGTCTAAGCCCCGCCTGGAAAAACTTTTGGTTAACTCCGGCTTGGGTGTGCCCTTGGACATTTCCACCCTCCCTCGGGGTCCCCTAGAAATAGGCCTGGGGGTGGGGGTGCTACCCTGGATAAGATCCACGGAAGCAGCACGTGCTGGAACCCCACACTCTGAAAACAGGATGTCAGCTGGAGCTCCGCTGACCTCTGCCACTTGCTTCTGGCAGAGCTGCTGTCTGACCCCTGTCCTCAGCCATAGAGGCTCGGAGTCACACCTCTTCTCTACTCACTGCTCACGAGTGGCCCCGGCCCAACCCCAGCCCCCACTGCTCCTGCTCTGTCAGCCTGGAAAAAGCCCACCGGACCCCACCCCACCCCACCCCACTCCACCCTGTGTGCCTGCAGGGAGTAGAAACATGCCAAAGGGATGGCTAGGGTGGGACGGTAGGTGGAGAGCCTATGGTCACCCTGCCCTGTTCTCCCAACCCCCAGCTCCCCGTGCTAGAGGAGACCATAATCTCCAGGACCCAGTCCCCTTCCCAGATAGTCCCGGGCAGCCTGGAAGGTGTCGCTGACAATACCCAGGGCTGGAGGCATTGGCCCTTCTTGGCCCTGCTTGGAGGAAGGCTGGGCTGTCCGCCTGTGTCCCAGACACCTCAGTCTGGCTTTGGAGCCACACCCCTGCCTCACACACAGACACACAGAGGGGACACTTGTACCCGGTGAGTTCATAACAGTGCCGAAACTGATACATGACAACATTTTTTATTTATTTATTTATTTATTTTGAGACCGGGGTTTCTCTCTGTAGCCTTGGCTGTCCTCGACTCATCTTGTAGACCAGGCTGGCCTCGAACTCACAGAGATCTGAGATCTACCTGCTTCTGCCTCCTGAGTGCTGGGATCAGAGGCCTCTACCACCACACCCAGCCAGGACAGCGAACGAGCCAAAAAGCCCCAGGCTGTATGAAATCATTCCTGGCCGTGGAGGCCTTCTCAGTGGTATTACTGTATTTGAACCCAATACGCACTTCCCTTCCCGCCTTTCTGCTCTGCACCACTCATTAGATACTTGTTTGGCTAAGCATCTAAGCGCTGCTAGGGATGGGACTTGGGCGCTTCCTTCCACGTCACCCCCAGCACCTTGGGAGTCACAACGGACACTCTGAAATATCCGCTGGCTGGATAGAGGGCAGGGAGAGCGTCCCCTGCCCCCCGACAGCGGCTCACCCTGTTCTCCTGTCCTTCTGTCTAGTATCTGCCCTATTCAGTATCAGTTTAGCACGAAAAAAGGTACAGCCTGGACAGAAGGGCTAGCGCCCAAGCGGAAGTCTGCGTGGGGCAGGGCTGGGGGTGCCCTGTCCTTCTGTAGCCACCTTCCAACCTACACAGCTCCAGAGCCTCTGAGCCTTTGTCACGGCCTAACTTCTCCCTCGCCCCAGGGACGCCTCATGCTTGGCCTTGGCTTCTCCATTCTTGGGTGCTGCAGCCCTTATAGTTCGAACCCATCTCCCTCTCCTGCTTGGGGATACCCCCCTCCCCTTGGCTCTGGAATTCTTTCCTATTTGGTTTGGCTGTAAGCAGCAAGCACACCCACCAGGGACTTAATTAACCAAGAAGCCAGTGAGTTCCTCATGGAGCTGGGTGAAGGACCCCCATGAAGGAAGACACCGTGGGGGTCATGGGGTAAGCCCTGCTCCCTGAGATGTCTGAGCAAAAGTCTGGGACTGTACTATTTCTCTTCTCACTCGCAGTTAGCCAGCACGGACTCCATGTCTGCTCTCGTGGGCAAAGGGAGGCCGGGAAGTGTCGTCTCTTTTTGGGGGATTGTGCACTCAGGAGGGGAGAATCTAGCCCTCCCGGTCACAACTCTACTCCTGGTGCTGGCTTTTCACACTGAAGTTGGCACCAAGGTCACCCGGTATGTGCCCAGCCTCTGCCCTCATCAGCTGAGGTGGAGGAGAAGCCTCTGGAGTCTGTCTGGCTTGTCACCTCCTTCTAGACCCTTCCACAACACTCTGCTTCTGGGCCTTTCTTCCTGGGCAGCCTGCAACTTCATCCCTTCTTTCTCATCACCCCCCAAGTATCTTACCCATTTCACCCCGCTTTGGGGGTGCAACCTTTCTCCAGTGACTAGAGACTCAGGGCCCATCTGAGTGACCACAGGACTCGGGTGTGGTGCAGGGTTCTGCTCCATCCACGGGCTAGTTCCACGGTGAGCAAGTACTGTATGAACCTTGGGGAGTGGGAAGGGGTTTTGGGGGTGAACGAACTCCATCGGTTGTGGCTGTGATGCTGGCGTTGCTCCTTGCACCCAGGGGCCGGCCGCATGACCACCTGTGACGACGCCACATTTTTTTGCGCACGGCACAAAGCAGGCTCAGATCAGGAAGGGGGCGGTTCCACGGAGCCTGACTCCGCTCGCATGTTTTCTAAGCTTAAGAAAGAAGTTTTAAAAAGTCTACGTATGTGGGGCGGGGCTGTGCCCGTGCGTGCAGGTGCCTGCGGAAGCCAGGGGATCGGGATCCCCCGGAAGCTGGAGTTAGAGTGGTTGTAAAGGGCCCCGGGGAGGGAGGGGGACAGTGGATTGTGCTGGGAACAGAACGTGGGACTCCTAGGAGAGCAATCTCCCATCTTAACCACTGAGCCATCTGAATTTTAAAAATATAGTTTATAAGTTTGTGTGTGTGTGTGTGTGTGTGTGTGTGTGTGTGTGTGTGTGCCATCACATATATATGGCGGTCAGAGGGTAACTCTTGGGAGTTGGTTCTCTTCTTCCTCCATGGATTCCAGGGTCCAAACTCAGGTGGTCAGGGGCCTTGTATAGCAAGTGCTCTTACTCCAGAGCCATCTTGTTGACTGACCCCTTTAAAAACATGTTTTTACATTTAGAGGTGTTGGGGAGGGTTGTGGGGTTTGGTTTTGCTTTTTGTTTTTTTCAAGGCAGGTGTTCTCTGTGTAGTCCTGGCTGTCCTAGAACTCACTCTGTAGACCCAGCTGGCCTCGAACTCACAGAGGTCTGCCTGCCTGTGCGTCCAAGTGCTGGTATCAA